GGGGGAAATCTAAACAACTGCAGCAACAGTCTTCTAAATGCTGAAGTTAGTGCTGCATAAAGATTAAGAAAACACCATCTACAATATGTATCAAATTTATTACAGACTATCTCCTTCACAGTAATAGATTCCATTTTTTTAAATTAATTTTTAAATGTTTTTATGATTTGGGGAAAAAAAAAACATCCATGAATAGTACTTCAGCTAATTTTAAAGTTAGATCCTGAGGACAAACAGCTAAGCTTGCTAATTGTAGGCTGCTTGTTTTATTCAAATGGCTGTTAAGAAATTTTATTTCCATGTCTTGTGCTCTGTATCTATGTTCCGCTTAGTGTGCAAAGGTTAGATGATCATTACTTGTGGCACCATTTCCCAACTTAGAACAAATAGACCACTCAAATAACATCTCAATGTAACTATTGGTGTTATTTTCTTACAATTAAATGATTCAAAAGTTTGCTTAGACAGTATTAGCTCAAGTAAGGCAGTTTCTAGTGGGATATTGATAAGAAAACAGAGTGTAAATCTGGATAGCTCTAGAAAAAATCCTGAAAGCATCTTTTTTTTTTAATCTTGAATAAATCTTCTAATGTGGTAATAATAAAAGCAACAGTAATTACTTAAATTTTTTATGCGTCCACTTAATTCTCAAGAAAGACCTGATTGTAATGCTAGCATGCTACTGGTTTCATAGCAAAAGGCAACCAATACCTAGCAGAACTTTAAAAAGCAACTAAAACAAGCCCGCTGCTTGACAGCTTAAAAAGCTGTTCAACAACACGATGACTTTGAGAAAGACACACTGAGAAAGAAAAAGGCAGGTTCCAGGAACAAAAACCACATATACCTGTAAAACCTTAAAAAGCAAAATTTATCCTCTGTATGAATACAAAAGGGCTAACATCTACTCAGTATTTCAACTTGAAATGTAAATGTTTAGAAGACAAGGAGTTAGAGATAATGTTCTTAGACTAAGCTTCTTGAACCACAAGGTGTTCTAGATGTGTCTTGTATTTCAAGTTTTTTCATCCTTGAAAATATTAAGTCTTTAAATTTGAAAATGCATTAACTGCACACTGTGATGGGGAAGACAGAGGAAGAAACAGACAATCTATTAAAAGCCTTTCGAGGTGTATTTGTTACAATACGCCATTAATTTCAGTTCACTGACATATACATATATGCCTCAGACATTTATCAGTCATCAACATTACTAAACAACTCCAAAGGTGAGGATGAATGCTGTATTCCTTAATCTAAAAGCAACAGTGGAAAATAACATTACTGAAGACAGAAGAGCCAAGTATTTTATTAACTAAAAAAAGCCAAAAAGATTTGAGAAAACATCAGAGCAATTCTAGCCATGGCTTTCAATTTTATCCAGGGTATGTATTACAAAATATAAGTGACCCCAGCACCACTTGTTCAGTTTTGACTCAAAGGGAAGAGTGCCATCTACTGAATAAGAGTTTCTAAAACGATAAATATACTCGTCAAAACCAAGCATCAGCTCTCCTCCACCCTACTTACTTGTGGGGAATTACCAAGTTTGGAGTGCAACAAGAAAAATAGTTTTTAACTGATTCGTAACTGTCATTTAAATAAATAAAACTCAGTTGTCAGTGTTGAGTCTTCTGAGTGCTAAAAAAGTTGCCCCAAGTAAAAATCTAACCAGGCTCCCAAAGTAAGTTAAATAGAGCAAAAAATACTTCTACAGCACACAGAGCAAATTGGTCTTATAAAAATCTACCTGTTGAACATATCACAGCACTTCTGCCCTCAAATTCTAATATGGAGCTGGGTATCTACGGTGTGCCCAGCTAAAAACTCTAATTATATTACATTGCACAGGGGGAAAGAAGGGAGCGGGGGGGGGGACACAGACGGGGAAGGGCAGGGAATCAAGGCAGAATTAACCAATGCTCTGAAAAACATTGTTAGCAGGTACTAAAAGTCTGCGAGCATAAAATTGAACTCCAGAGTTCCTTAAGGGGTAACTATGCTAAAAGACATTCACCATCTCAGTAAAAGTATAAACATAAAAAAAGCACGGAGCACGCTCCCTGCTCATAAGGATTCTTTCTATTAATGATCAGAGCAGACTGCCAAACGGATGCAGCAGCAGTTTTACTTTTGAATATTGTATCATCATTTCTGAATGAAAAACTAAATCTATGTCTTGACTGTTTTCTTGTAATCACTAAACCCCTCAGGAGTCTGAAACACAATTAAGTAATAGATTCTATGATAGCCAACTACTCTGTGACAGAAGCAGCTCACTACCAGTCAAATTTTTTCATAGTAAAATACCTCATTGGGATTATAGTGATATAGCTGTTCGCACCAAATCAGACATTCACAGTACCTTATTCTAAAGGAAATACGTGTGTACAGTTGTAGGTTATTATCAGGGATAAAACATAACCAATAACTCAATATTTTCATGGAATAGTTAAAGAGACCATTCTTTGCAACAAAGACAACACAAAGAGGGCTAGTACATGTAACAACAAACAGATGGAAGGCAATTCTGAATTTTGGAAATATATGTAGGGGGAATTATTAAGGAATGCCTTTATTAACTTTTACGTCTTAAGATTCTCCCCCATTTCTGGCTGCCCCAAAGAGACACCCTCCCATATCAAAATTAAACTCCTTAATATAGTTAAGTCAAGCCACCAGCAACAGTCAACAACAGTTGCTCTTTATTTTACATTTTTGCAAACAGAAAACAATGATCCCATAATATCTTAAAAAATACAAACAGAAGACTTACTGATCCCATACAAATACAAATTGCTTACCTTGCAAATACCCTGTCTTTGTTTGCTCTTTCTTTACCATACTGCACAGACTGGACCTCTGTTCTCCCACTGGAAAACAAAACAAAACAAAACCACTAAATGCAACACACTTAGGATAACAATTTCTCGCTTAAAATTGAACCACCTCAACAAAAAAACCCCCAAATTCTCTTTTCAGTCATGCTCAAGCAATTGCGCTAGCTTCAGTACAGTATAACTTTAGACAGCATTTGGGTAAGTGTAGGTCTTCTTCCCCACTAGAGCCTAACTGTAACAGAGACCAATTAATTTTAGGCATAACATAAAGCTTTCTCTTCTCTTCCTTCTTCTTCTTATCCAAAGCAATACGAAAGTTCTGCTTGGATCTTTGGATAACAACACTATAATCTTTCCTGTCATAGCCACAATCAAAAGTTACAGCATCTCCTTTGTACTCCTTGTAAACTATTCCCTGAATTGCTAATAACTTAAGTCGCTACTTAGTTCAGCAAAACATCATGAAGAAATTAGATGATAAGCACATCAGGATTGTATTCTTCTACACAACTTGTCAAAACCAAGATTAGAACTTGGAACTTGCTGACTTTTCATATAAGACCAGATGTTTGGTGTCAAATCAAAGATCCTTTATAATATTTCATAATCTCTATTTAAAAAAAAAAATACAAATTTTTTTTGAGTGTTTATCAGCAGTTAAGAATTGGTGGCAAGATACCAGCAAAACTCCCTCTTGCAGCCACTTCCCCATTTGTAACTCCATACCAAGGCACAGAGTCGGAGGATACACGTCCTAAAAGGATATTGATACTTAAAATTCTGTTCTTTTCTGTCCCTTACAGGGACATTTACACTATGAAATGAAAGAATAATTAGCTATTTTCATATTCATATTACAGAACTACTGGATGCGTGAAGGCTGGAGAAATGGGCCAAATGGAATCTCACAAAATTCAGTGAAGGGAAATGCAAAGACCCACACCTGGGGAAGAATAACCCCATGCACAGGCTGAGGGCCAACCAGCTGGAAAGCAGGTTTACTCAACACTGGTGAGATCACATCTGCAGTGCTGTGTCGAGTTCTAGGGTCCCCCAAGTCAAGCAAAGGGCCACTAAGACAATTAAGGGTCTGGAGCATCTGATGTATGAGGAGAAGCTGATAGAGCTCAGACTGTTCAGCCTCAGGAAGACAAGGCTCAGGAGGATCAAATGAGTGTGTATAAATGCCTGAAGTAAAAAGACTCTTCTCAAGTCAGCCCAGAGACAGGACAAGAGGCAATGGGCACAAACTGAAATATGAGATATCCTACTTAAACTGAGAGGGGAAAAACAACAACAACAAAAAAAACACAAAAGAAAAACTTTTTTACTGTGAAGGTAGTCAAACACTGGATGAGGTTGCTCAGAGATGGAGTGGAGTCTCCATCCTTGGAGAGACTCAAAACCTGGTTCGTTTGGACATAGACCTAGGCAACCTGCTATAGTGGACCCTGTTTGAACAGGGCATTGGACTAGACAAGTATCCAGAGCTGCCTTCCAACTTCCACCATGCTGCGATTCTAAGAAATCTCTCTTTTCAAACCTGCTGCCTGCTAACTTCCTGGAGTTATACATTTTTAATTCTGACAAGCAGTAAACGGTCTATATTTTCCTCTATTCCTTTGCAATAACTCTAACATTGTATTTGCCTTTCTCTAACCGCTACTAATAATTGATTTAACGTTTTCAGAGAACTAACTACAAAGCTCCAAGACAGTAATAGCTTATTTATAATTGATGTTCCTCCTCTTTTCTCTCCCTGTGTAGATTATTTTGCATTTTTGGACACGGAACTTGATCTACCATTTTATTGCCTACTCACCCATCATTGCAACATACCACCGAAACTTTCTACGCTCAACTTCAGCTTTTACTACAAAAACCTGTATCACTTCAGTGGTAACTTCCTTTGCTGTGAAGAATGGACCTACTTGTTTCCCATCTGGTTAGAAGAGTTGCTAATATACAATAAAACTCTTCTTGTTTTGGCAGTTTAACTTCTTTAATGAGTATTTGGTGAGGAATACTATTAGAACAACTTTGAAAATCCAAGGACAGTGTACAGAAGAAGTCAGATTTTCTCATCAGTAATCTTCTTGATCCCTCCTGGAAGCTCTTTTTTTTAAAAAAACCCTTGCTTTAAAATTTGCTGCATTAGAATCTTAGTCCAACGGATATAACAGATTATGTAATACATTTAATAGTTCAACAATTTCATGTCTGATTTCTTTCAGAACTGAAGATAATTCTGTCTAGCCCTGGCAGTTTAGTATTTTATTAGTTCGTTTTAATCACAGAAATGTTGGCTAGAAGTCTCTAGTCCAATCTCCTGCTAACACTAGGTCATGTCTGGCCATGGCTTTGTCTAGCCAAGTTTTGAAAGCCTCCAAAAATAGAGATCCCGCAACCTCTCTGGGTAACTTGTTCCAGTAATGCACTACCCTTCTAGAAAAACAAACCAAAAACTTTTCCTAATGTCCAGCTAGAATCTTTAAGGCGAAATTTGTGGCTGGTGCCCCTTGTTCTATCACCTGCCATTATTAGCACAAGTTTGGCTCTATCATTTCTGAAACTGCCCTTGAAGTAGCTTTAGGCTTGCTTCTAAATTCCCCCTCAGCTTTGTCTTCACCAGATTAAACAAGCCCAGTGCCCTTAACCTCTCCTTGTGTGCCATGTTACTACTGTTATGCTGCCTAAACAATCTCTCAAACTACTTGCAGAAATTCTAGCCTTTTGGCTGCTTCATTAACTTTAATGACCTTCTTCATTTTTATGCAGTTTCCCTTTTCATCTTACATTAATATAAGCTGAATATCATCATCTAAGAGCTATTCTGTAATAGTAACCACAAGGATTCAAATTCAAAATCTTTGCAGAAATGAAAAAGTTCCCTCAAATTCACTACAACAACATTGAACCAAGTCTCAAACACTGTTCGGGATCACCGAATGCTGTTTCTCAAATGGGTGCTGTGAACACTGGTCAAAAAAACACATGGTATAAAAATTTAGCCACTGAATTACTTTCCTCTTTATACATTTATGCAATTCACAAGTATAACAGAAATAGTCTGTTACTGTGTTTTCTAGCTTTTAACCATCTCCCTTTGTACGTCACAGGCACTGTTGCCATTCTAGATGGACGATTAGTAGTAGCTCCATTATTCTCTACTTCAGGCACAATTTAAACTATCGGCATTCTGCATTACTTGCAGAGTTAATTCAGTTACTTAACTAAGATTTTTTTTTTTATAAAAAGCATAAAACACTTTAAAAACCAACTTTAAAAACCACCCACTCCATCATTAGAACAGAAATTATACTTGGGGATTACAGTTATTCCACAGTCATTCTTTGCACCTCCAAGCTTTTTGCCTATTACGTCAAGTTCATGCCTAAAAATTATGGACTTAATTTCATCCTTATTTTCTAAACTTCTGGTTTTGGTGCAGAACATGTAGGTCTTTTGTCTTCACCTAGTTGCCTATTTGTATGCATCTAGCTTAAGTGCGCTTTACTTCCTACTAGAGCTTCTTTTCATTGATTTCTATTTGATCTTTATTTAGGTCTGTTTTGTTGCTGCACACAAGATCTGAGATCCATCAGTTTTCAAAAACACCAGGCCAAAGACTTTGAAGTTCTGAGACAACATTTTTTAAGATAAACATAACCCAGCAAGTAAGCAGGTGAAGAAATGCAGCTTGTGAGACAATCTCAGAGTACTAGCTCAATAATGACTGCTAATAATACAATAATTTTATTTCCAAGATATCCTAGAAAATTACTAACAACATTTGAAACTTGGGTCAACAGGGGAGGAGAACAGTTGCGGGATTCAAAAGTTACTTGAGTTATGGCACCTTTTAATACAGATTCAAAATAATTCCCTATGTTTATTGATGAGTTGCCTGTTCTCCTACATTCTTTCCCATATATTTCAAATCAGCACTTACCAGTACCGGAACTTGGAACCCAAAGTGAAATAATGTGCAAAAAAGTTCTTCTGAGGGGGGAGTGGTCTGTCCAAACGGAAGAACGTGTGATGTTCAACACAAGCTTTCCACAAATTCTTACATGCTCGGTAATTCACCATATTGAATCCCAGTAACGTTTCTCTAGATTCATGCTAAAAATGAGAAAAATTTATTTCAGATAAAAATTATTCCCAGTTACTTTTGAAATTAATATAAATACTGTTAGCTTTGTTTTTTTTTTTTTTTTTTTAATTATGCTTTTTGAAGTGGTTGTCTAATTCTACATTAACTTTAGGTACTATAAACCCTTTTTTTTTTTCTTTTTTTTTAAATGAGCCTGCTCAAAGATTAACAGTCTGTTTACTGATATTGAAACAAGTCTAGATGGGTAGAAATGGTCTCAAAAGGTAAGACCCAAACTACAATAAAAAATTTCTGTGATTCAAGAACTCAAAGTTCTTCAAAAAAACATGCCTCCCTGTTTCAAGATTACTACAGTTAAGATGAGGAATTGTCATGCACACATGCCAATTAGAGATTGGGAACAGGTATTGATCTCAAAAGCAACTGATGTGCCTACTTCTAAATGATTAATTAGGTTCCTGGTAAAAGAAAGAAGCAAAATTGCAAAGCAAGCTAAGCTATTCTGCCTGTTGAGGGAGCTTGATTACAACCTTTGTAGGTCAGAAAACATCATCAGCACTCTGCTTTCTCTTCACAGTACTAAATCCTCCACAACATTTAGCACACCTTAACTGTTTTCACTTAGCAGTAAACTCCTCTTCCAAGTTAAGCTTTTGCTGGCCTGCTTTAATCTTTAGATCTGCTGAGATACCGGGGCATAGACCTGCAACTCTTCTCCCAGTGTTGTCATCGTGACTAACGACTAAGAAGGACACTGTATTTTCAGCCACATGATGAATTTAGGGTAAAGAATAAAATGGATTTTAAAAGTAAACAGCAAATTCTGAGTATCTATTGATGAAATTTGAGTAGTTATATGCAAGAAACTAAAGCCTAATATTTTACTTCAATTTACAAAAATTACTTATATCTCTTTTCTTAATTTCCAAGTATTGCCAACTGTTCCCTGTATTTTCTAGACATGTTAACAGAAGTACTTGAAAGTTGCAAACAAAGTAAGAGAAATTAAGTTCATTTCCTATTCAGTTAAAAAAGGCTTTATCAACAATGTAAATGTACAATAATACAAACAAGATATATTACTATTCTGCAAGAGAGCAACTATGTAAAATTATGGACTGCCTCATCTGGATCCAGTAAAGGACAAACCAGCTACGATTTTAGATTCCAACAAAAAGTTCTCATGATGTAGCAAATTTTAATGCTCTGTCAGCCTTTTACACTGTTGGAAAAGAGAATTTGACAAGTTATATGAGCTGATGATCACAGATTTTCATGTTACTCAAAGCATTATAACTATGGGTTGGTGGGGGGAGGAATCCTGCTCTTTCCCCTGGTTTGTATTCCAGAGAACGAGCTGATCTGATTCTCATGCCACCATCTGATCACTAGATCAGGCATGAAGCATGAAGGAGGAGCTGGTATCGCATGATGAGAAGGAGCTGCAGCTAGATCAGCTTAATTGTAATGCGAAACAGCACTTTCACAGGAACTCGGTGCGTTAGAGCTTTAAAGGTACCTTAACAATAGTTCTATTCATAGCTTTTAAGGCTTTCATTGCAGTGCAGAGAGAACTGATTCTCAAACCCTACCCTTCATCTCAATTACAGCTAGGAATCAATCTTTAAGGTAAAGAAGAGTATAAGATATTGGCTCCTAAGGGTACCATCCTTTTCCTATCCACCCCTGCAGGTTCTGTAATACCCAAGCATAAGTTGGGCACTTGAAATTCATCTTTGCTGATGATTCTGGGGCGCAAGCCCTGGTTCTTCTGCTGTCTGGTAGCTGGATTTAGAATAAGATTGCCTCTGTTTTCCCTGAAAATAGTCGGCTTGAATCAATGTGGGCTCAGCATAAGACCCCAAGGCAACATTTACAATGTCCATGGTACTTCAGACAAAAGCACATAAAATAACAGGATAGTTATACTGCAGCCTATGGGAATGTAGTAGGCTCCAGGAAGATGCTGAATGCTCTGTGATATGACAATGACATACAGGTATTTCAGGGTTTTAGGTCTGTTGAAACAGTGTTAGAAGACTACCTCAGGGAGTCGCAGTTGGATTCTGTTCTGAAATGACTATCTTACTAATTGTGTCCATGGTTCCTACTAGAGAAGGAAAACAGTCTGCTTGCTACGGAGGGGGAGAAGAGTGAAGCAGCTGGAATGCAATACCAGTGATGAGGCTCAGGACCCAAGTGTGAAACTACAGGTAAGCCACATACCACCATGTAAGATAATTTAAATCATAACCTTACAAATGTAGACCATGTACCAGGCTACCAATAGAATCCAAGAAGAAATACTGGAGGGATAGGGCAAAGTCAAGTCTAAGTCATGTTTGTAGTTCCTTTTATTAAAAGGACAAAAAAACAAACAAAAAAAGCAGAATAGATATTGGTGCCCCTCTCACCCTGAACGTTCACCTTGGAGACATTCATTCAAACCCACCTTTGCCTGACTTGAAATAGGGACTTCAGAGCAGATCTCTCACTGCTCAGGAGAGAAACTGGGTTGAAAAACATATTCTCTAGTGGGTCTCTTTCACTTTGCCTAAACAAAGAAAAATCCCAGAACAAAGCAAAAATTCCATACCCCCAACTCTGAGAAAGACAAATAGACTTGCCTTTTATAAGCAGCAGATGCTCCAGAGACACAAGATATTCCACAAATAGTGGACAGAAGTCCTGTGGAAGCTTAAATGCAACACAGATTGTGCCAACAGTATCTGCTTTTAATGCAAAAACCCAACGGCAGAAACTTTGATAGGATTAGGCAACAATCAACTAGGCATCTAATGAATGCCAGTATTACTTAAGATCAAGTATGTACTTGGGCAGATAAGCCCATTTATCACCTTGTGATTCTAGCTCAAGTTCTTTCTAAAAGTCAGTAAGAAGAAAAAATTCAAAGCACAAACTTCAGATACATAATCTATAATTAAAAAAAAAAAGTCATTTTGGCCACGCACTGAAACTAGGTCTTGGTCATGGACAAAACCTATGATATTGGTTTTTTACAGACTCAAATAACTTTTCAGTGCACATCTGGGCTCTAAAAGAGCAATAGAACATGCTGAACAGCTTATTTGAGTGTCGAAGAATCAAGACCACTAAAGTAGGCTGGACAGCATTAAGAGTTTGATGCTGACTATTGACATTACAACAGCCAAGGATGTAACTAACTAAAACCAGAGAAGCTTAGGGAAAAATCTAGAAAAATGAAACTACTGAATTATTCTCAAAGCATGTAAGGGAAGCAGCATACGGAACAGGCAAAATATACAAAAATATGGTGAAAAAAACCACCATTGAAGTTATGGCTCAGGGGCTTCTAATGTCGGATGAAGAAGTCCTACATATAACATTCTTTTCCCCCCCACAAAATCATGAAGAAACAGTGGAAAGAAAATCTACTCCAGCGGATGCGTGCTCTAGCTATATAATTGTCAGAATACGCAACCAGCTTCCATTCAAGATTATATTATGCTACTAGTGGAAAATGACTTTGACATTAAACTGCTTCATCTGACTTCGAGTGATTTATTTAAACACAGATACAATCTATTAAAAGTAGGCAAATAATTCTTTACTTATGTTGATGCCTCTAAGCAATGCCAAGTTAGGGAATAAACTTAATAGGTGATTAAAAGATAAGGTACTTGCACTTTTGAGGACAGTGGCAATTAAAAGCTCTCAACACTCATTAGCAGAATTTGAAAAATATCTGTTTAGGACTACTTAAAAGCATATATAGCCCAGTTTGGGTGGGGGGATGGGGAGGAAATAACACCAGAAAATTCCTCTCCCAAGTCCACTAATTTAATATCCTATAGCATCTCAGCTTTGCATCAGAATAAATATGGTTACTCAGCTATACAATTTATTATGTATTTACACACAACTTTGAAACACATCATCAGCGTATTATGAATGTATTTTTACTGCCACATCATAAATCAGTGCTTTTAAATATACACACAAAGCACTAGCCCAGAGATATTTTACATACCAAATGTGCAATCACTGAGTCACTTCACCTAGTTTCTGCTGCCTAAAAAGAGCCATTTAAGCTCCCTTTATTGTTAATGGGAGTGAAAGCAAAAGTAAGCATATACCACCAGAGAGCAACTTAAACCATCCTAAAACGTACTTCCAATTCATGCAAGATGTTTCACCCTTTGTATGTGTCTGGTTACTATAGAGTAAGTCTAATGATTAGCTTTGGTTAGCTAATTATCATGAAACAGAAAATATGTTCTTTTAACCTAACTGAAGCTGAATATAGGTGAGATGAATCTTATCCTCTGAGTCTACTCAGGCAAAGTAACTCTGGAAATAACAATTTTAATATTAGGTTTGATTAAAAAATTAGTTTACGTATGCCTTCTTTGGAAGCCAAATTTGAGCTTTGATCTTAAGATATTCATGACTTGGAATGAATGAAAACTAATTTCTTGCCATCAGTTTTCATCTGATACATAGAGTTTAAAGAAAAACAGTACGAGGCTTTTTAATTTGTTGGCTTGGATAAGATGTCTCAGAAGAGAAATTACATTACATATACTACATTCTGCTGCAAGTAATAATATGCAGAGTATTAAAAAGCAACAGAAAAAACAAGATGAGAAAGCTATCTTTATGTTACCTTCAATTATATGCAGAATTTTTTTCTGCAGAAAACAGAGAAAACACTCAAGTACAGTACCCAGTCCAATTTTATATCTAGGTATCTCAATCTTCAAGGCCCTGAACTCTGCTACTACAGCCTTTTCCTCAAGTTCTGATTTAGAAAACAACTGCAGTTCATCATTTCTGAATTCCAAATAAAAACCCAAAATTCCCATCTCAGATCTAAATACAACATTCCTGCAATTGTAATGGAAGTTACACACACTGGTATCAAGAGAAAATCTGACCTCTGGGCTGTAAGAGATCAGTTCTCCTTTGAGAACTAGCCTATAGCTCCTGCAGGGTATTACGTAATATCTGTGTCACCACGATGAAATATTCCCCCCCACCCCCCTTTTTGTATCATTACCATTTTTCTGCTCATGTTGCATGATGTCTGCTCACGTTGACAGATACTCCCATTTATTTCATGTAATAGCCAAAGTTCATTTCTTTCTACACATAATTACTCCAAAATCTAACTCCTGCTACCCTGCTTCTGAACTGATACCTACTCACGCTGCTCCAAGCACACGGGTTAAACTTCTCCTGTCAAGTAACACACAACGAAGCGTCTACATGTGGTCAGGTAGTTACATTTGTGAAAACTGCAAACCCCAGTGCCTCATTTCAAAGGATCTGCTTTTAAGATATACAGTTTGACTCCTGTTTTCAGTACTAGTATTAGTCACCAGCCGTTGGCCTGATCTGACGTAACAGGTGTTTCCTCCTCATATTTTTCTTGTTTAACCATATTGTCTCTAAATCTGGAATAGTCCTATAGTACTCAGGATGCATTTCTGCCTAGAATCCATCCTTTTTATCTAGCCAGTAACTCTACATTTCAGATCTTAAATCCTTTCAGCTGTAAGAACTGCACAAAATCTTTTAACTAATCTGATAACTTAATCACATAGTCATATTTTTAATTAATTCTTCCATCTTTC